TCTGCACATATTACTCATGCAGCCCTAGTATTTCTTTTGGAGGTTGAAGAAGAGTACGGTATTAGAAAAACAGTATTGTGGAACAGTGCATGGGTTTACATCTGTTGAGATCCGGAGCACTTTGCTATTCTCAAAAGATTTTGGTCAGTGAGTCCATGACAACGGTTTTGGACTCTCACAAGTGTTTGTCTTGCTTTTCATACTGGGGTTATTCTGTAATACCCTTAAATAGGGCTACTTGTGGCAAGTTAGATTAGGTTCGGTTTTTCAGTGTTTCAGAGTGATAAACTCTTGCCCTGGGTAGTCCTGTCTGATCAGTCATGTCTTCCTGCCCTGAGCGACTTCGAACGTGTTGGATGTTCTTTAAGAATAGTGATGCATAACTGAGGATGATGCGTGTTGGGATGTCTGCTGAGGTTACTGTCAACTCCTGTCTACCCTGCTGCTGCTGTGCAGGGAGCTGAGCTGCTCTTGAGGCATCTCGTAGGTGGCCGCAGTTTACATCAGAGAATCAGTTTCTTTAGTTTCTTTTTTTTTCCCTGTTTTTTTGGTTTTTTGGGGTTTTTTGCCTTTTTTTTTTTCTTCCTCTAGAATCAGTTTCTTTAGTTTCTTTTTTTTTTCCTGTTTTTTTGGTTTTTTGGGTTTTTTTGCCTTTTTTTTTTTCTTCCTCCAATTGTCATTGTCTTGGGAACTTTTTTAGGGGAGGATGGGTAGGCCTGTCAGGGTGGTAGTCTCAGCAGCTATAACATTGTGATCCTTGCCACAAGACATGAGTTTTCAATATAGTCAAGCTTACTCAAGCTTATCTGTAATTTTTTCTGTTATATTCCTTTCCTCTATTTGGCACGTTGCAGACATTTAACAACATTTACTTCACAGTCATTGTACAACTGATCATTTTAATTCAAGATCAGCAAATTATTGACTTTTTCTTCCTAACACTTCAGATCCTCATAGAACTTAAATGTATTATTTGGTAAGTGAAGGTATTTAGATGACTTTAAAGGGGAACTGTGTAGTCTCATGTCTTCCAAAAGGGTTACTGAAGATACAACATCCCCAAATGGAAATATTCTTGCATTTTGTGTCTAGACATGTACTCTTGATGACATTTATGACTATCAGACATGCTTGATGTCCTCACTGAAATTTTATGTGCTTGTGTAGAATCTGTCATTTATTTATTTCAGTACCACGTTGCCAGACAATTAAACTATACATGTATTCACTCAACAGCATCTAGGTTTACCATCAGATCAAATTTAGCTTTTACTGCATTCTCAATGCTAATTGGATTTAATTATTTAGTTCATGTATTCCTAGTGACATGCTGGGTCAACACTGATATTAATTTTAGATCCTTAACGTAATTCAGTGCATTAAGCAAATCGTACGCTATCACATTTGGAGACCACAGTTAAATCAAGAAAAAAATAAAGCAGCTTTCAAATACTTGCCTCCTTTTTTTTTTTTTTTTGGTCTTTTTATGGCATTTTAAGAAAAGGCTTACTGGTAGTTGATTTAGTCTAATTGTATGAAATGGGACAGCTTTTTGCCTATTTCTTTTTTGGATAGGGTGATCATGTTCACCAACTATTTTATGCAGTCTTCAGAAGACTACAGAGTACTTGACTGTAGAATGTTTCTTGAGATTCGTTTCATGTCTGTTTCTTTAATTTTTTTAAAATTATTTTATTTTAAACGGTACAGGCTGTTGATACACATTGATAGATGTTCCTAACCCTAACCCCAACCCCAAATATTATTTCTCTGTGTGGGCATGCTAAGAAGAAAGAAAAAAAAAATGCTAGCTACCTGCCTTCTCTGAGTCCAGGCCTCGTTCTAGCCCTATGGGCCATTGAATGTTCAGCAACAGCTTTGGTTCCTCTGCTCTTTCTTTTCCTAATGCCTGAATCCAAATCCACAATATGGGTTACCTACCACATGGACCTAAAATAAAATATTAGCCACTTATCTGTCCAGAGCTCCTTTCTTTGGCACATTGTAGAGCACTCCAAGGGTGTTGTAAAAGACTGTCCATTTACCCTTCTTCTGTCCTGAGGGGCCACCAATGAACTGAGCTATTCCTGTTACTAAATCTGGTCCTTATCTAGAAGGGTGGCTGAACTGAGGCTTAAGGGGAAGGTTTGACACTTGCTGCTCCTGTGAACAGCCTTCATTTTACCTTTAAGGGCCATCAGATGCTTTCCAGTAACCTGGGCGTTTTAAGTCTACTTTCTCTTGACCAATATTTAAACCTAATAGCTAGTAGGCTGTCTACTTTCCTTTTCCTAATCCTAGCCCTAAACCAGACCCTGACTCTAATCTTGACCCAGGTACTCTCTATAACAAGATGAATAATGTGTCTAAAATTTATTTCAGCCTGTCCACAAAAGGGGTTGGAGTTAGAGGAACCCATGTGTAGCGTAGACAAGCCTTCATCTGGCCTAAAGCCTATCCCAAAGACACCCTATAGGTAGGAACCAACCTGAGCAAAAATAAACTACAAACTGTAGACTTTTGTTGACAAGAGACTTCCACTTTGAGATAAAGCGCACAAATAAGTGCTGAAAGGTAGATCAGTTTCTAAGACTTGCCCTCAGTCTAGTCACCTCTCTATTTAGACTACCAGTGGTAAAGTTATGCTTACAATTAGGAAAAGATTGGCTGTAAAAGGCTGTGCTACACGTTGAGTGGTCTGTGGGGCTATATGGATGGGATCAAAAGGGGCCTGTGAAGAATAGTTTATTCTAGCCCCAGTCTGCTCAGCTGTCTCTATGTAGGATTGTGGGGTTAGGATTAGGGTTAGGATTAAGATTGCATTTAGGAAAAGAGTGAGTGAACCTCAGTTATCTGTGTGTGTTCCATGGGACGCAGGACTTCCATGAGGGTGAGTATCATTAGCTGATGCCAAGCCTCTGGCTTGAAACTTATAGTTCCAAACAGATGGCATATCTATAATGAGTATTTACATTCTGGTTTAGGTTACAAGGGGAAGCTATGTTATTAATGGTTATTTAATGTAACCCTGGATTAAGATTAGGGTAGGTGTTTGCAGAGGCCAAGTTCTAACGCTGCATTTTAGTCTCAGTTCAGCTAACAACCTGTAGAGAAATGGAAAGTTGGAGATAGGATAAAAAAAACAAACCATAGGAAGTAAGTGCTGAGAGAAGTAGGTTGTTCCCCTCTGAGCCTTGTGCTATTGGACCTAAGTGCACATCTGGAGACACAGATATGTGCCATTAATATTTTGGGAAAGAGAGAAGAGTTTACAATTACAACCTTTCTTGCTGTGGCTTGTTACCTATGTTATGAATTGCTCAGACTCCAATTAACTATTGGAGTTTTTGTCTGCTACTTGTTCCTGTGAACAGGGCTTGAAGGTACTGCTGTGGTCAGGAGGCTTACCTGGCAGCCACCTCTTAGAAGAGGACATGTTGGATTTTCAGAGAGCCGCCTGGTGTGGATCAAAGTTCTGCCGCAGTCGGGGGCAGACTGTTGGGCTCATTGGTGACAAGGAGCAATGTGAAGGCCTGTGATGAGTCGAAATGTTAAATTAAATGATTCCTCTGTAAAACCATCTGTGATACTTTTTAATATTTGATATGAAGAGATTTAATATTTAATATGAAGAGATTGGTGATGAGAGGGTATGAGGTCTTTGGGAGTAGTCAGCAGGCTTAAAAGCAACCCAAAATGCCCAAATGAGCCAGGGGAACGAAAAGCTAAAACACAGCTATGGGCAGCAAAAGGCTGATCTTTGTCTTTTTTTCCTCTCTGATGTCATTCTTTCTGTCTTTCTGCTATAAATATGTCAAAACTTCCTTGAAGTTCCACATGCCAGGTCCACAGGTAGCATTGCATCACCTTCATGATGATCTTGACCCCCGGTTTCCACTGTGGCAATGCTCGCCCCACCTTTGTGCAGTCTGGTTTTATGGTGTGAGGCTGGCTGCGGTTGAGAGAGGCAGACGGTCGGAGAGAGAATATGCCAGGACGGTTTTGAGAAGAATAGGAGGGGGTGTTTATATGTTTATTCATAGTATCAGCTAATTGCTACTGATTCAATTTTGTGGGGTTTTTTCATTTGTTTTTGTTTTTTCCTGTGAAAATGGAAAGTTTGGACACTTTGTCATGGGAGAGCAATCCTAACATCGCTGTGTGAGATGGTTCATCCCACATACAGTACTCTATAAAGATTTGGGGGTTGCTTGACAAGAAGGGTGAAGCCTATTTGCAGCTAGTATAAGTCTTCAATATTAAAATGAATGGATAGTTCCGTGATTTAATAATAGAAGGCATTTATTGTAGTTAAACACAGTGTAAAGTGTAGCTGTGTCAAATAACTTTTGAGATTGCTATCACATGAATAGTCCTTATTGCTGACATATTGCAGTATATTTATTATCTAGTGGATGACAATCCACTGCTGAATTAATGAGGGGAGCAAATATGAACACCAATAGAAGTTTTAAATAAGCATCAGCTGTAACAATTTTTCATGCAGCCTTAGAGTTCTTTATTCTCACTGTGTAACTTGATGTTGAAAATCATGCAGATAAGGATAATGTTAATACCATTCGATGTAATGAGCCATAAACAGAAGAAAAACCTAATGAAATCTGATTTTTTTTTCTTTCTCTGTCTGAATGGGAGGACAACTTGCAGTGCCAGCAAATTTCTCATTTTTCCTTGCTTTGAAATCCTGGGATTCTTTGCAAAAAGAAAAGTTGCTTGGTTAAAAAAAACACATACCCCCCAAGGACTCCATACTTTGAAGTGTATTTCCACACACACATACACACACCATACTCCTGCTTTTATCCTTTTTTATTTTGACAAAATGGTTTCCTGTGTGAACTTCAGAAACAGTAGTGCACGCAACACCCACAAAAATAAAATGCTATTTAAACCCAACTGCAAGAACTGAAGTATTGAAAGTAGCAGCGGTTTTGTTTGTGACATAAATATTAAGTTATTCCTTTTTATTTTCAACATAGGTACTTCAAAAACTAGGAAAAGCAGATGAAACAAAAGATGAACAGTTTGAAGAATACGTTCAAAATTTCAAACGGCAAGAGGTCAGTTACTTTTTCTGTTTCTTTAATTGTCTCTTAAGAAGAATGCAGTGCATTTGAACTTGCCAGTCTTGAAGAAGATGTTACAGGGTAACAGGTAAAAAGATTTTTTTTTTGGGGGGGGGTAAGATTTTGTTCTGCTATGTTCAAACAGAAAGAACAGTTGAATTTGTGCATGTAGAGGGCTAAGAAATCATAATAAAAGGACATATTGTAATCATATATAACACCATCATTCTCGATCTGCTTGGGATCAGCGGAGAGGCGGCACATTTTCAACAGTGCAATTGAGAGCAGAATCCAACCCCGACTAAACACAGCTTTGTAGTTGCCTTCTTACAAAGAAGAGATGTATTTCCTTGGTTTCGTTTTGTGGATTGTTTTCATCAGTGGTATGTAATAATACCGGTTTTATACAAAGTGAATAGATGAATAGTTTCAGGCTGCTGTGTGTTGTTACGCTGCCTGTCGGTGCAGGGATGACAGGGCTGTGGCGGCAATGCTGATGAAGCACTATGGGGGAGCAGCGCTCAATTGCTCTTAGTGTTGTAAACACAAGACGTGAAAACGAAGGTGCTCTGAAGAGTTTATAATCTACTCCCAATGCAATCCTAAATTCTAACCTCAATTACTCCTTGCTTTGTTGGACAGACTTTTTGGCTCCGAGGTGATTAATTGCGATTGATTGTATAGTAGCTTTCTAGTACAAATTAATGCCTACCATGAGCTGCATTGATGCCACCAAGAAAATAGTCTTCTTATGTAAGTATGAACTGAGGTATCTGTCATCTTTGTGAGCTATCATTTAGAGCTCATATAGAAAGGCACTGGAGGGTGAGAGAACTACTCCCACACATTTTACACGATGTAAAAATTGGCTCATGTCAGTGTTTGCAATTTCTGCCCTGAATCACTTTTATCTGCCACATGCACTTCTGTCCTTTCCATGTAAACACAAACCCTGTATCCTGACTGCTGGAATGATTACTAACTCTTTGGCATCTTACGGTCGCTTAGCGTTTATTTTCCTCTTTCAGTGTAGAAAGGACAGAGGTTTCAGGAGCCACCGGCCTGTTGTGTAGATCTTTGCTGTTCTCCAAAGATGACAATGATGGGAAGTAAAAGAACCTGTTCTTCTGAGGAGGGTGGTTCCTCCCTCAAATTCTTGAGGTCAGGAAGATGGTGAGATTTAATAGGCCTGAAGAAGCACTCAGAAGCTTTGAAACTCTGCAGAGATGTTGTATTTTCCCTTTTCTTCCCCTTCCTCTTTTCCAAGTATACTGGGATATCAATGGAGCATTTCTTTCTTCTTGATTGACCTTATGTTGCTGCTTATCCTTGCTGTAGATATCCCAGCTGTTTGCACAGCTAGTAACTGTGTTACTAGAAATAAGGTGCATCTGTAAGGTTCTTACTGGGTGCAGAAGGAGCAGCTGGAGCATCCCCATGAAGAAACAGTTTTGTGGGATATTTTTTAGCTGAAAATTCTGAGTGAAATTAAAAAAGAGAGATGAAAGAGAAAAAAAAATTATTTTTAAGCAAAATTATGTCTCAAGTGTTTGGTTTTTTCTGTCATTTTCCAAGAATTTTCTGCAATGGTGATTTTCAGCTGAAAGTCTTGCTAAGGGCTAGGGAAGATCTTAGCATTTCTTCCTTTTTATTTCCTCCTCCTTTGATGTACAAAGAGGCAGTAATAAGCAGTCAAGGATTCTGCAGGAACTGCATAATGCTAAATCCGGATGCGAATGTGACTTGGGGCCGGGGGAGGAATTGGGTAGGGAGGAGTGAGTGCAGAGGGAACTACTACAACTCTTTTGAGGGGCACATGCAGATTAGGCTGGGTCCGCTGGCACACCAAATGAGAGAGACTGTATATTTATTAAACTAATTACATGTGCTTACTGTGCTCTGCTGGGCTCGCTCTCAGAGAGTCCTCTTGTGCTCAGTTCTTTAAGTACAAGGGGAAAAAATGCTGCAAAAGCACTGTTTCTGCTATGTTCACCAATAAGAAGTATATAAATTGCTTAAATTTTCTTAGTTTTGTCTGTGCTTTGATCTACAACTTACTAGCAACGCAAAGATACAAATCATTATAATGTTCATCTGAATTATCACTCTTACTGATTAATACCTTGCAGAACTGCTATCTTCTGTAGGCAGCCGTCTCTTTTTGGTTTACATTCAATCCTGCTTTCAAGATTATCTCTGCAACTCTAGAGACTTTAGAAGAAGAGAAATTAAATTCTAGGTCTTAAAGAACAAAAAGGCAGTTTGGGTGATTGGTCTTTGTGCTGAGGTCCACCGACCTGTTGGTGTGGGCCATTCAGGTGGCTTGCAAGCAGCACTGTCCCTGTTAGAGGCTGTCCCATCTTTTCCTGCAGGATTATTTGTCTCTATGGTGGTTGCTGACCTAACTGGTCCTTTCTATGGCAGAAGCAGTTTGAGAGAAGGTCCAAACTTTACTTTGTTTCTTGCAGTCTCATTTAGCAGTGATTTGGCTGTTTCCTGGCCATCTCATCTACTTACATTTGGTTTTGAGGAAGGCTGTCACTTTAGTTCTGTGTCTCTTTGTAAGTTAGTAGCAGCTGGTGCCAGTGTGGGCTCTGGGAATCCTGGTAAGCTGAAAGCTGTGAAAATGATCTGGTTTTCTTGTTTCCCTACCTTATTGAGCCTGCAACGCTTGAAAGGTAACTGGTCTTATGGATAGAATGATCTTTTTAATTAATACTCTCCAAAGATAATAAATGAAGACTCACAGTTCAGCTCAGGGAAAGGAAAGAGCATAGTGCTCATTCCCCAGGAAACAGATAATTGAAAAACTGAAATCTTAACATGCTATTCCTTGCCTGAATAGCGGATTGGATGGTGGGTATGTACCAAACTCAGCAGAAGGCTCTGTGTGAGGATATGTCCTGCAGACCTATCTGTAGGAAAAGCTCATTTAGGTTCCCCTGTGATCTGTTCCCATCTCTTTCTGAATACAGCTGGATAAGAGCCCCCTCTGGATTTGACAACCCAGAGTTGAATTACCCAGATGAATCACCATGGAGAAACTGAGTCATCTGGAGAGAACAGAGCACAGTGGCTTTGCAGAGCCTCAGGACTTTCCCTATCTGAAGCAGTGAGCTGCTGCAGCTGAAACCAACAGGAAAAACATTTTGATTTTTAACAGTGAATACAGCTGTTATTCACCTTCCACTTAAGTTGTAAACTGGAAACTCTAAATAAAAACTTGTGGAACAAACAAAACATATATAAACTCATGTATGACACAGATATTCAGTGTATTGCAAGAAATTTCTTGAGGCTTAGATGTTTCTCTCTGCACAGCTGTGGATGTGCTCAGCCTTTTAATGGCTGAGGCTTAGATGTTTCTCTCTGCACAGCTAACTGTGGATGTGCTCAGCCTTTTAATGGACCCTGAAGTTCAGAGAGGGGGAAAAAAGAGACAATTCCTGCATATTTCTCTCCACTGTGAAAATATCATCAAGTCCATTGGGGTTTCACCTGAAATTTCATCTCTGTTCTGTTGTTCAAGCAACTGTATCTTACACTTTCTTTTTTTTGACAGGAGGTAAAGTAGCAATTCCCTCATCCCCAAGTATATTTTAATGACTCACAGTGCTTGCTTCGTTTTTTTAAGAGCTCAATATTCTATTTCATGTTTATGCATATTTACATCTCATTATTTGTCCATAGGCAGATATGAGACTTCTTTTATTTTACAGACTACAATTAAAATATATTTTAATATTTAAAACCATTATGATTGTATATGTACACACAGATATACCAGTTGCTACTGCAAAAGCAGCTGCCCACGACAGAATAAAGTAAAATGTCAAGTACTGTTGTTGCACTGTTGGGCAGTCCCAAAGCACACTTCAGATACTGGATGACCACTAAACCAAATAGAAGCAATATAATGTGCAAAGTATTTTGGGGGCTGTGGGAGAGGGTTCTCTGCTGGTTACCATTTAATCCTGAAATGTATGTTTAATAATTATCTTATGTCTGAGAATTAGAAGAGACATAGTGTGCCGTTAAATCTCATCTCAACCTCACTAATTTCCAATCAGTCAGGATATCCAGGAAGGTGAGGTCCTCTGTTTTGTGCTACAAAATTATCTCTGCAGGAACAGCCCTTATCCATTCCAACTAATTCCTCACTTCAAAGGAGAGAGCGCTGATCTGATGCTTTGCTTTTTTGATTCTCCCTATTGATCGCTCCAAATGTAAAGTCTAAACTGTTGTCACACTGGGCTGGTTTTGATTGCCCCTTGGATTTAAGCTATTACGCATCTGCAGCTTTAGTAACAGTGCTAATTCTTTTCTCCTGGGCAGTGCAGTTGAATGATCAAGTTATTTCTGACTATTTTTAAAGCAGACTGGTATATGTTTCTTCAGGAGCCCTTTGGGGTAACCGGCCCTGGGAATAGTTGACATAGCCCAGCTCTGGGATTAACACATGGACTGAACATGATCCAGTTCACAACAAACAGTTCTGGACAGTTTTCTATCAGACCTGTTAATACATAGCTTATATATGTTATTTAAAAATATAGTTATGGATATGCAGCTATAGGCAGAAACAGAGGCCAACTACATATTCAGAAAGTCTAGCTTGACATTTAATATGTATAGATTGCTTTTAGGCATAAACTTGTAGACTCTGCACTTGCTGTCTTTGCACACCCCAAATTTTCATTAAAACCATTAGTCTGGGCCCTACTTTGAGGACCTGAGTATGCTTGTAAGAAGATATAATAGGTAACGAAGGTAGGATCCTAGCTTGGGGAGGGAGGCAAGAAGGTTGGGATTTCATTTAAGGAGGGCTTTCTGTTTTTTCTGTTCAGTCCTCATCTGAAACAGAGACCATTGGTTCAGTGAAAGGGTTAGTTAAGCATCACTGCAGGCACAGAGCTTTCTCACCTGACTACTGGGAGTCACTACTAATGTGGGGCAGAGCTCTCTGGTCTTACCTTTAGAGTTCATACTTTTTG